CCTGCACAGAGAAAGGGTCCTCATAGTTCCAGAGAAGATGGGCTCTGCCATCTGTCTCAGGACCAGACTCACTTGGCATTGCAGACCCAGTCCATAAAGGGTTCTTGAAGAGGCACATCATCTTCCTGAATACATCTCCTTAGGCTTCTCAAAGGCTCTTTCCTCAAAATCCTCAACACCAACACCACAACATGAGTACCTACCAGATCAGATCACCCATGATGGAGGTGAGATGTGTTCTCTGCTGACAGTAGAATCCCAGTCCCACAAGGTCATCTGGACAGTTGGTCAGAAGTCCCAGACACAGTGGCTTAAACTATTATGTGTACAGTCTAAGACTGTGGTGCAATGGGGCAGGGGAAGTGGGTAGGTAGAAGGAGACTGTTTGTGACAACTTAGGGATGCAACTGAAATTTCAACCTCCAGCTACTCACGTGACCATATTTTCACCGTTTTCCCAAATCCAATTCTTCATGAGGAAATTCCCTCTGTCTTCCTTTCTATCTTGCCCTTTCTGCCAAAATAGCTCTCCTTTGGGAACAAATAGTTCTGTTTCTTCTTTGGAATGCCTCTGGAAGCCAGGAACTCTTATCTCCCTCAACAACATTCTGGCCAATGCTTGGAATGTGATTTACATTACTGACCACCAGGAGCACAGGAGAACAAAACAAAAAAAGGGCTTCCCAGTAAAGCATGAAGGGGGCAGGGCAGAAAGTGCTGGGGTGGGAGAGAAAGAGTGAGCGCAGAGTTTCTGGGGGAGCAAGGGGTCTGCCCCACTGCCCAAACCTTCTGGACACAATGGGGAGCAGGCAACATGTCACTGCAATCCCCATCACTGGGGGTGATGTGGTGGTGTCTGGAGAGGCTAAAGAGAGACCTTCTGCTTTTCTGGGATTTGTTGCTTGGACAGCGGTCTTCGGGGCTGACTCACTCAACAGTGATGGCTGCAAGCCAAGAAGTCACGGAGAGACTCTCAGGGTCACACGCGCTGCCCTTGGCGTGCCAGCTTAGCCTGCTGGAGACCAGCCAGGGCTCATTGGGCAAGGGGAGTGAGGCCCAGGGAGTCAAGACCTTTTTGCAATTATGGAGGTTATTTCTCCACTTGGGCAAGAAAGCATTCCTCTCCTGAGGATGGATGACAAAGCAAATGGTTTCTGCCTCTCTCCAAAGGCCAAGAAGGTTAGGAAACCACTCCTTCTTTCTCCAGAAAGCCTGAAAATCCAGGCAGAGTGGTCTGCTCCAGATGCTTCCAGTGTGAAATGCTGTCCCCTTACCTTATTTGGCTCTCCAGGACCGCCCAACTGGCTGTAGGGTGGGACTCAGACTACTCTCCTTCCTCTTTTATTTGTTAAGCTCCTACAACATAAGAAATACACATTTGTCTGTGCCTAGTTCCTGACACTGAACTTCTAAAGCCTTTTAAATTTCCTAAGTAATAAGGGAACAAGCAGCATTTTTTGTTCTGTTTGGTCTTTGACCCTGGTTCCTAACACAGGGCTCCTAAATGCCTGGGTTTCCTGAGTGACAGGAGTGGTTTTTTCCTAGTAAGGTGACTCTGGGTGGGCTTCTGGATAGCTCCAGAATGGGAACTTGTTGCCAGAAAGACAAACACATGATTAGAAGCTGAGAACTTTCAGCCCAACCCCCATCCCCCAGGGAGAGGAGACGGACTGGAAATTGCATTAAAAATGAGAATGCTTATATGAGAAAGCCTTCCCCAAAATCCTTAAGCCACAGGGTTTGGAGAGCTTTTGCTTTGATGAACACACCAGGAGGGTGACACAGCCCAACTCCACAGGGACAGAAATTCCTTCACTCTGGGACCCTTCCTGACCTTGCCCTATGTATGTACTGTTTCACTGGGCTCTTCATCTGTATCTTTTATCATATCCTAAATAATAAAACACTGAACATAAGTAAATGTTTTGTGAGCCAACCCAGCAAATTATCAAACCTTCTAGGGCACCTGGGTGGCTCAGTGGGTTAAGCCTCTGCCTTCAGCTCATGTCATGATTTTAGGGTCCTAGGATCAAGCCTAGTATCGGGCTCTTTTTTCAGCAGGGACCCAGGTTCTCCCTCTCTCTCTCTGCCTGCCTCTCTGCCTACTTGTGATCTCTCTTTCTCTCTCTCTCTCTCTCTCTCTCTGTCAAATAAATAAATAAAATCTTTAAAAAAAAAAAAAAAAACCTCTCCCCAGGGACTGTGGGAAAACTCAGCTTTGTAGCTATGTCCACCAGAAGTGTGGGTACCCTGGGGACCCACTGCTTATGACTAGTGTTCTTAGTGAAGGCAGTCTCTTGGGACTGAGCCCTTAAACCTGATTCTAATTCCAGCTAGTTACCGTCAGAAATGATTTAAATTCTAGGACGCTCAATTGGTGTCTGGAGAGTTGGAAAATTGGTTGGCGTGGGAAACACACACACACACATTTGGTGTCAGAAGCATTGTAAGTAGAGAAACCATTTTCCTTTACCCAGAGACCAACCCGTGGGAACTTTCCTTAGAAAGGTTTTCCTGGCAGTCGCTACAATACAAAACAGAAGGGGTAACAAAAATAAAATAATAAGCCCAAATATGCCAAATGTCTTGAGATGGTTTACAAAGACTTTGAAGCTGCTGACTTCTAGCTTAGACATCAACACTCCTGGTTCCTTCCAGGCCTCCAACTAGGTTATCGTGTCAAGTGTGCTTTTCTGACTAGCTTCTCCTTCCACCAGAACCTTCTATCAAGTGCCAAAGCTTTGTCCAAGTTCCTACTCAGGTACCCTTGCCCTGGGCCCCAGGTCTATAATCAGCCCGTAAAGAAGTTATTTACCCCATGGCCTTGCCCTGCAGGGAAGGCATGAAAAGAAGCCCCTTCTCCTCTGAATCCCAAACTAAAACCAAACAATCATCTGCAAAAGTGTAAACCGTCATTGTGCCTAGAAACACTGACTGTTAAAGCTGGAAGCACCCTAAAACATTAAATCTACCTTTCTCACTTTGCAGATAGAAAATGGAGTCCTGGGAGAGGATCTCCAATCTAAGACCAAGGCGAGTTTCTGGACTCTGCGTTAATGTTCTTTAAAATGTGTCACACCACTCCCCTGCCTAGGTATTTGCTAACATTGTCAGACCAAAACAGAGCTAAGAGGAGGGAAACATTCATCAAACAGGAGGATACCTTCCCTCAGGAAACAGGATTTCCTCCTAAGGCAGGTGCCTGGGAGACCCCACTGAAGGGACCCTCCAGCCTCTTCTTGTGCCTTGCCCCCTTCACCACAGTCCCGACCCAGGGGCCTTCTTTCAGACCCTCCTGCACACACACCTGCTCCTTCTGGTCACAAAGCCCTAGCATGCTGTCCCTCGCAGAAAGACTCCCACCCCTCTCAACAGGGCCATGTCCCATCTTCTGCCGGGCTTTCCTGGTCACTCCACCCATACACAATCCATACACAGATCCTTACACCTCCCATATCTGCCACTATTCCGGGTCTTTGCTTCCCAACTGTTTGCCCTACCTCCCCCAGCGGCACGGGACCGAGACAGTGCCTGTTCTTGTCGCTGTGGTACTGTAGCCCCTGGCACATGGCTGTCACATGGGCCAGTTCAGCAGATCTGGGGGATGTCTGCGCAAATGAGATGAAGTCACGGAAGCAGGACACGGATGTTAAATACTTACAACTTTATTAGGAGCCGGCTGTTGTCCCTGCAGCAGCCAGCTCCCATGTATACACAGTATACACAGCCCAGCCAGGACCTAGGTCCTTCCATCCGTCTGCTACACATGGAATGCGAAAGAACCAAACACAAAAGGGGGGCTCTGTAAGTGACAGTGTCTAGTGCCTTCAGGAGCCAACTCCCAGGCTGGGAACAACCAAGCCCTTCAGCTCACCCCAGCCCCCTACTCCAACACGGCCAGGCTCACAAGGTTGGACTCCTCCAATCAGTGCACACAAAGGGCAGAGGAGGAAGGGGACTCCTGAGCCCAGATCCTTACTGGTCCACACCCCATGGAAGAAGTTTCTGGAACCCCCAGAATCTTCCTCCTCTTCTATAGACATGAGATACCACCTTAACTTTTCATTCCATCACCAGAAACCTGTACCTTGAGGCTTGTCTCTGCTCAGCCTTAGAGAACATGGTTGGATTAGCAAAATGGTCAAAGATAAGACAAACCTCCCAAGTTGTCTTGGTCATACTTCTTTTAAAAAGGAAAAAAAAAAAATCATGACAGAAAAGAGCATTTGAGGCCCAGCTTGTGTCAGGAACAAGATAGGTCGTCTCTCCTCAAAATGATTTCTAAAGCTGCTCTGCTAGGGGACCAGTCACCCCGACTGATGGCAGCACCCTTTCCCCCCTCCCCATTCCCCTGCCCGTTCTGCACAGCCCCCGTGCCACCCTCTCCTCACCGAGGAGGGGTGCACCAAGCACGGAGAGCAGTGCTATCGTCGGCTAGTGGGGTCTACGTCTGCCCTGGTGCCCTGCGTCCTTTTGATGGTCGCAGCCCCATGGTTTCTCTATACAGGGAGGAAGATTCCTCCTTGCTTCATTCTCCAGGAATGGCTGCAGCTCTGCCTCAGAGATCCACATGCCCTTTACCCAGCTGTGGGGGTTCCGGTCAAGGGCTCAGCCCAGGGCTGGGCTGGGATTGGAGCACCATCCCAGAGGTTTACCTGAATGGCTGGTTTATGGAGTCTGCCTACTAGGGGAAGCCAAATAAAAGGACTGAGGCCCTTTCTCAGGGAAGACACTTGCTCCGGTATCACCTCACTAAAGTCCAGGACATATTACCTAACTCAGAAGAAGAATCTCCCATGTTCATGTGGGAGCAGCTGCACCCTCAAGAAATACCCTGCTTGGCCAAAGGCTCTCTCACCCCAGAATATCTTCCCACTTGGGCCTCCAGAAAACACCCTGGTTTCTACAGCCCCAACACGTCTCTAGGATAGACAGGAGTTCTCGTTGGTGGCTGCCAAGTGCCTCTGGGTCAGGTCATTGGTTTTCTTTCTTTCTTTCTTTCTTTCTTTCTTTCTTTCTTTCTTTTTTTAGGTCATTGATTTTTGTGTCTCCTGAAGCCTGTCCCCAAGGCACCTGAGATCCTGCTTTCATTTTTGGAGCCCCAGTGGGTGGCCAGTCTCTGGGGGCAGGAAGACATATACCACACACTTATCTTTGTGTCTGGGCAGCTCAGTCTGCAGAGGACAACAGCCAGGTCCACTGGAAGCACCAGGGTCACCACCACCCCAGGGAAGGGACAGGTGTGGGTACCCAAAGAGCATAGCCTGAGGTAGCAAACAGTGAACCCCGTTATCCAACTGCAATGTCATGTGATGTGCCCAAAGCCAGACCACATGTAGCTGTCCAGATGAAGGACCCACCTCCAGGCATGTGGATGTTCAGCACCTAGCCCTCCTGGGCATCTCCCACGTCCCTCTTAGTGGCCACTCTGAAGGTTCTCTGAGGCAACACAGAGCCCAAGGCAGCAGCCCTATTTATACCTACCTCTCTGGAGGAAGGAGTCATTGAAACTGAGGACTCCTCCCCATCCCAGGGTGACATTGCTCCAAACCCCAAGCCCAGTCCCAGTGACACGGAACATTCTAGGCCACTGCTCAAACTCCGTTTCACCACAGAATCCATCATCCCTTCCATCTTTTTTCAATGGTCTAATCCCTCCTGAAGAAGGCAATAGACGCCCTATTGACTTCCTGTACCTATTTGCAAAGCCTCAAAGGGCACATACTTGGAAGCCCTCCACCCAGCCTGACGTCCTGGACAACACAGGAAGAAGAGGCAGCTCTTGACGGAGGGTCAGGAGTAGAAGGAAGATGAGAAAGCTCCGGACTCCCCCTACACATAAGCCTCTTCCCAGACTTGTTATTCCTCACCCCACTCTCCTACCAGTTTCTGCCCACACCAGCCATTATTTTTTTCATTATTCAGTCCTGGTCAGTCAGAAAGGAAAGGCGGGCTGACAGCACCATAGAAACCTGCCTTGTTCAGAGACAGCTTAGAGCCCCCGGGGCCACCTGAGGGTGCCAAGCTGCTGGGCCATGGCTCTTCCAGCAGCCTGTGGCCTCCCTTACGGGGGCCAAGGTCCCTGAAGTTCTGCCTGGGAGGTGCCCATCCTCCAGGTCCCTCGGAAACTGGGCCCCAGCGCCTCTGCCCAGTGCCCGCATCTCTCAGCCTCTCCCAGAGACTGGGCCCTGGAGGAGCCGGGCGTGAGGTAGACTGTGCATTGTCACTTGGCTTCCCCCGCCCAGGCCAGGGTGGAGGAAGGGACCTCTTAGCCCTGCCCATGGTCCTTGTCCCTGGAAGTGAGTGACGTTAATGGCCTTGACACCCGGCCACCGCCCTCTGCCCATGGCTCCAGCTGGCCGGAGCCCTGGCAGCACCAATGGGGCGGAGAGTGAGGAGGAGAAAAGGACAGTCCCATTCAGCACGGCCTCAAGACACAGAAGTCCAGCTCCTGGGGCTTCCGGCGCAGGTTGCACTGGTCCCGGGCCAGCAGCCGCCCTCCAGGGCCCAAACACTTGAGCGGACGCCTCTTAAATCCCCGGCCACAGCTCTTGGAGCAGGGCGACCAGGCGCCGAGCTCCCAGGTCGGGCAGGGTTCCCCACAGGCTCTCATCTCCACTGGCCGATGGGCTGCATCACAGGCAGATGTGGAGCGTGGCCCTGGGGGCCCACGACAGTCGACCGCCCGCTTCTGCAGGCCACTGCCACAGCTCACAGAGCAAGGCCCCCAGCTGCCTGCCACCCAACGTGCCAGGGGCCTGTCGTCCTGCTGTTCCACTTGATTGGAGATGCTGAGGACACTGTTGTGGTGTACCGAGGAGCCCCGGGGGTCCTTGGGGTGGGAGGCCTTGTCCTCCCAAGGCTCTTTGGGAAGGTAGAAGGAATAGCGGACCCGGGGTGGTGTCATCTTGCCCACAGAGAGGACCTCCACGGTCAGGGGTTCCAGGATGGGCCGGGAGGCCTGCAGGCTCTCCACCGCCGTCCCCGTGCCACTGTAGCGCAGTAGGCTGCCCTTCACCACCAGGTCCCGCTCCACGGCCGACACCACGAAGTGCCCATTGAGCAGGTACTTGCCTTGGCTGTTCTTCAGGGCCAGGTAGTTGTCATCTCCAACCAGCCCCTTGTAGCCACGCTGGCGGATGTCAATGCTCGAGGCACCCGCAGGGATGGCCACCACAAAATTGTAGCCGTGCCTGTGGTGGAAAAGGGGATTGTGCCTTAGACAGATGCCTGGATGTAAGGCCCTCTCTCCCAAAAAAGTCACAGCAGATTCCCCTTTCAGAAACCCAAGTTGGCAGAGAACAAAGACTAGGCAGATGGCTTCAACTGCCCCTCAGGAAATCTGGGGGCACACAAACTGAAAGACAGTATGAGATTGTCACCACATCATCTAGAGTTACACACCCTGGCTGTGTGTGACCTTTTTTATTCAGGTCACAATCATAATTATAATTGTCATAATCATGAGATTATGAGATCATGACCTGAGCTGAAACCAAGAGTCGGACGCTCAACCGACAGTCCACTCAGGGGCCTCTATACTGTGGTATCCTAAGGCAAAGTAAAACCAAAGTTTTGGAGCCAGACCCATCCCTACCACTGGCTTAGCTGTTAGCCTTGGATAAGTCTCTAAGCTTCTCAGTGCCTCACCTGGAAAATGGAGATCATAATCACATACACCTCATTAAAGCCCATAAAGCCTGTGGCCTAGTGTCTGCCACCCAGTAAGCACTAAATATGTATTAACTGTGAGAAGGAGGAGAGGAGGGGAAGAAGATAAGTCTACAGTCCCTGAGTCCAAGGCTGGGGCCAGACACCCTACTGAGACACAATGGCCCTGGAGTCGGGCCCCCAGATCAAGCCTTAAATACCGACTCCCTGGTGGCTCAAGCATATCTCCCTGGGTTCCGGTGTCCTCACCTATACAATGAGGAGGTCAAACTAGATGCTTTCTAAGACTCCGACCAGCCTACTAGTCTACAAAGAGGGCACCTGCCATTTAGCCAGCAAAGCAAGTCTGGGAATATTTACCTTTAATTCTCCACTTGGCCTCCCCCTCAGATCCCTGCAAATGCCATCCACTTGCAGTGCCCCCAGTTCCCAGAAAAGCTGCCCAGCCAGGGGGCTGTGTCCAGAGGGGGCAGTGGAGACTCCTGGACAGCCATCTAGACCTTGGACTCCCAAGTTTTCAGAACCCACCATATCCCTGCTCAACTCTCTGCTTCCCCCAGATTCTTCCAGACCATGGGTCAGGACTTTCCAAGAAGCACATTCCCCTTGAAAATACAAGGGAATACACTGGACTTCAGAAAGCCAGGAACCCCAGCTCTGGAGGTAGGAATTGGAAAGACCTATAGACATTTCTTCAGCTGACCCTACACACATCTTCCAGGAAGAGGGAATTCTTTGGTCTTAGCCCCCTGCTCTGCTGTTTATTGCCATTCTCAGCTTAGTCCCACCCCTGAGGACAGGGCCTCAGCCTCTGTGAGATGGGGAGGCTGTCACATTTGTCTCTAGGCTTGTTTTGTGACTGTCATCATGAACACTTAGTGAGCATTTATTATGTACCAAGTATAATGCTAAGCATTTTACTTGGATTAACACCTTAATCTTCACAACAGCACAACAGGAAATATATTCATGTCATACCCACTGTATAAATGAGCAAATCCAGCATTCCAAAGATTGTGTCACATGCTCAAGGTCATCCAGAAAATGGGGAACTGAGATTTGAACACAGGTGAGTCTCACTCTAGAATTCTAGACAGACCATAATGACCCTCTGCCATCTCCTTAACTAGCATCTCCTGTTCAGTGGTGGACTTACCAAGCATTCATCTCTGCTTGATGGATGAATGGATAAAGGAATGAATGAATGAATGAATGAGCGTCATACTCTCAGAGGAAGAGTCCGAGTGGCCTCTCCAGTAAGGGCACTGCCGGTTTACCCCAGTCTGACCCAAGCTTTCATCACCTGGGACAGCTGCCCTCAGCCCTCCTCCCCTTGCTCCAGGACCCAGAACTTACATGGGCTTGGTGAAGAGGCCTGTCACCTTCTTACAGCTCTTATTGTCGCCCCCACACACACCACACTTGTCGAATTTCTTCTTGGAGCCCAGGTTCCCGTCACAGCCAGCCTTGATGCACTTGCCTTGGACACAGACCGAGGTGGAGTCAGGAGTGCACGGTGTACCATCCACCACCTGCAGTGGCCCCAGTGGGGGAAAAAAGGAGAGAGGGGCAGCTCAGCCGGATGCCTCTCCAGAGACTTTCTCTCCGCTTTGGTCTCCTGCCCCACACCCACTCACCTTCGGCGCCAACACATAGAAGTAGCCGGTGCCATTGGCTCGGCAGATGAGCTTGCACTTGTCCCTGGGAGAAACGCCGGAGTACTTGGGCACCCATGCCACGGCAAGGGTAAGCCGGTTGGTGCTATGGTTATAGCCGTTGAAAGCCTCACACTGCTCCTCCCGGAAGCTCTTGCCAGAAGCTGAGGAGGGAAGAAGCACAGGCAGGAAGCTAAAGGGAGGGGCAGTGCTAGGAGAGCCCTCGCCAGGATGCTGAGCTGCCTGTGGCTCCAACAGCCCTTCCCCTAGGCCAAGTTACCCTCATCACTGATGCCACCCCATCTCAAAGAACTAAAGTACACTAGGACCAAAGGATGCGGGTCGCAGACGACCATGCATCCCCCAGGAGCTCTGCCAACTTCCCCAGTGATCTGACCTCCAATTCTCCATCTGGGATAACAGGTACCCCAGAGAGTTTGGGGCTATCAAACCCTTCAGGAGTCTTTTGAAACTATTTTCAGGATGTTATTAAATGGATAAAATAAATTATATAGGTTACAAACAATACCAATTATACTGATAGACAACTATCAGTATATATTGAAACATATTTGTGATAGTTGTGCTTGTTAATCCATTTCATAAGATACAACGACTCTAATAACCACTGTCATTTTCAAGTCGTGATGCGAATAAATTACATTCTGAGAAATTCCACCAACTGAAATGTCATATAGAAATATCCATGATTTCGGGGCGTCTGGGTGGCTCAGTGGGTTAAGCCTCTGCCTCCGGCTCAGGTCATGATCTCAGGGTCCTGGGATCGAGCCCCGTATCGGGCTCTCTGCTCAGCAGGGAGCCTGCTTCCCCCTTCTCTCTCTCTGCCTGCCTCTCTGCCTACTTGTGATCTCTCTCTGTCAAATAAATAAATAAAATCTTTTAAAAAAAAAAAAAGAAGAGAAATATCCATGATTTCTATTGGTGACAGAGTCACCGGTACTGCTAATAGTATTACAGTTTGTTGCCTAATTAAAAGACATAATAAATTTTAGAAAGAGCAGCAAAATAATATTAAACTCTAATTGAAGGAAATAAAAATTTTAAATTAAAAAAGGCAGGTAAAAATAGAGATGTAATTTCCTTTCTTCCCAAGTTCATGGACCCTGGATAAAGAATTCCTGCTCATGAAGATGGGCTTGTGAGTTCTTAACTAAGGGGAGATCTAGTGCGTCATTCCCTTGGTGCACTTAGGTTCCCAGCCTAAGCATCAAGAATAAAACACGCCTGCCCAAGGGGAGTGGGCAAAGAAGTGATTCCAACAGGAATCTGCTCTCCTGCACTTCCAGACTTGGCCCTAGGGGAAAGAATCTTGATTGCAGTAATCTGCAGCCAGGAAGTTGGTGGGGGGGGGGGGGCAGGGAGAGGGGCCCTCCCCTCCTCACCTGAGCTGGGGCAGGGCTCCAGGTTGCAGGATCGGTATTTCACTCTCACTCCCTCGCAGTACTTGCCCCCATTGGCAGGGGTAGGGTTGCTGCACTGCCTCTGGGCCAGCTGCACGCCCCCGCCGCAGGTGCGCGAGCAGGTTCCATAGGGCTCCCACTTGGCCCAGGAGCCGTCCACCTATAAGAAAGAGTCTGTCATACTCATGCAGGGGTTGAGCTGCACATCCACACCCTGACCCTGCAGAAGGGTTACACGGGTACAGCCTCGTGGTCCCATCCCACCGAAAGGAAATCCACTGTGTATCACACAGGGAAAATGGGAAAATAGCAAGCAAATGGTCAGCATACACAGTGCCCAGGCAACACTTCAACATGGTAATTAGCAAGTGCCAACTGCACCCCATTATAAATGAGGCTGCTCAGAAGAGAGGCCCCTTTGGGCTCTGGAGTCAGATGGCCAAGTTCTATCACTGCCTCTGTCCTCACCATACGGGTAGTCTTGAGCAAGTAGTAAAACCTATTTAAATTTCAAGGGCTTCATCTGCAAAAATGGGGCCAATAATACTCAGGTGTGAGATCAGACAGAACTTTAAATGATGCAACGTGTATGAAAATTCCTAGCACTGTGCTTGCCATGGAACAAGAGTTCAGAGTTTCTCCATACCTACTGTTGGAGACACGAGTCTCTAAATCTGAGGCAGTGGCAGCCCCCAGCCTTGCCAGGAAACCTTGTTGCCCTAGATATCTGGATATTTTTCTTTGTCAGTGTTCCATAATTCTGACTTCTCTCCCAACCAGACTTAACCAGAGTTCAGCTTAATCAGAGGCTGAATCTGAGAAAGTTTCACTCAAAGTGGTTCTAGCGTTTGTGCTCGGAGGAGACAAAGATAGGAAACTACAAAGCAATCCTAAAACTCTATTTGGCTCCGAGGTGAATGATGCAGTGTTGTTTCATTTTTTAAGAGGGTGGGGAAGGGGTTGAAAATGTATCTTCATTATGTTTTTCTTAGGATGCCAGCAAAGCGAGTTTTCATCCTCTGAACGCACCTCAGTCAGGCAACAGGAGAAGCAGCCCAGTTGTACAAGCCCGGGATTAAAATGCTGTCATGCATCCTCCAAAGAGACTAACCCGCGTGGAGCTGATCAGGAACTGGCTGCATGTCACGTAAATACATTAGTTTATGCACACATGCAGCATAGTCCGTCTGCTGGTCGGATAGCTCTTGTGTCACTGTGTCAACATGTCTCTCCTCCTGTGAGAGAAACACTGGCCCATAGCCCTGCTTCCTCCTCCAGCCAGCGCCCCACCTCATTCCAGCCTTCCATTCCCTAGGAGTGTCTACATCTGTTCCTCGCACCTCCTCCCTCCTCAGTGCCTTGCACCATGGGCTTGGTCCCCATCACACCAGGGAAGTTGCTCTTTCAAAGGTCTGAGATGACCCTCCATAGACTAAAAGAGTCTGTGCTTAGACCTCGCTATCTCCAGTTTTCCTTCAGTTCTTCACATTGTCTCTGTGGCTTCTGAGATGATGCTGTGTGGTGGTGGTGGTGGTGGTTGTTATTTTTGTTTTTACCCTGGTATCACCTGTTCCTACGGAAAACATTCATCCCCCAGAAAACAGTCCTGCCCTGCCACGTGCCATTCATTCACCCAATATTTGTTGCATTCTCACTAATGCCTGGCACCGTGTGAGAAAATCCCTGCCCTCCAAGTGACTGCTATCCAGCAGAAGAAACTAAAGATAAGCCTGTGCTTATAGAGGGTCAGGAGGGGTTAAATGCAGGTGGGAGAGGGGGAGGTGAGCTGCTCTATATTACAGGGGGTCATGGAGTCTTCACTGCAGAGGTGACCCTAGTGAAAAGGCCTGAAGGAAGTACAAGAGGGAGTTGCGCAGATATGAGGGAAAGAACATTCCAGACAGAAGGAGCAGTGCACAGAACTGAGGAGGGACAAGCCTAGAGTACTCCAGCCTCAAAAGAGGAAGAGAAGCAGGAGATGAAGGCAGAGATAGGGCTCACCATCCTGAGCGGAGAGGAGAGCCCCTGAAGAGTTCTGAGCATGGGGCATGACCCGAGCTACATTGTAAAGGATCCTTCTGGCTACTATGGTGGGAACAATCCGTAAGAAGTAAGACCGGCAGCAAGGAGATCACTTAGGGTACAAGACCAATCATCCAAAGTAGCTTGGAGCAGGGTGACTGCAGATAAGGTGGTTAAAAAAAAAAAAAAAAAAAGACTCAATTCTGGCTCTGTTTTGAAAATAGAGTCGACAGGAGTTACTGAAATATCAGAGGGATGGATATGAGAGAAAAGAGGGTTGACTCAAGCAGTGCGCGGATGGGAGCTCAGTCTTACACACATCATGTTTAGGATGCTTATCAGTTATCCGGATGGAGATGTCAAGATTCAGTGAGACATGCCAATCTGTAGTTCAGGACAGAGGTCTGGGCTGGCGATACAAATCTGGGGGACTTCAACATATACGTGTAAGTGATACTTGAAATCTTTGGCCTAGATCACCAAAGAGGTCAGTGTGATAGGGAGGAGGGCTAAGGACAGCGCTAGAATGCCCAACATTGGAAAAATGAGAGTATGAGGAAGACCCAGTGAAGGGGACCAGAAGGGGCAGCCAGTAAGGGGGGAGGGAAACCAAGACGCAGTGGAGCCCGTGTTCCCAGAGGAGAGGGTAATCAGCTATGTCAAATGCCGCTAACAGGTCAGGCAATATGAGGAACGATAATCAATCACGGACTTCAGCAGTGTAGAGGCCATTTGGCGACTATAGTGAGAGTTATTTTTAGAGGAAGAGTAGGACTGAAAGCCAGACTGGAATGGGCTCCAGAGAAAAAATGGTAAGACGGGAACTGGAGAGAGCAATTTCATACCACTCTTTCCAGGAACATTGTGGTAAAGGGAGTCAGAGAGAGAGAGACTGTGATTTATGGAGAGGAAGTAGGATTAGGAGAAGTTTGTTTAAGGTGGGAGGAATTACAGCAAGTCTGTATCCTGATAGGAATGATTCAGCTCGAGAGAGGGGAATCTGACACTGCAGGAGAGAGATGGAAGAATTAAAGGAGTGCTTTCCTTGAATAGAGGGGATAGTATCCTAAGTGCAAAGCACAGTGCCGGGCCTCCAGTGAGAGCATGGACAGCTCATCCATCACAAAGGAGGAAAGGTAGAGATTACAGGCACAGAAGTGGGCCGACGGCAGATATGGAGGTGGGAGCTGGTGGACGTTCTCATGGGATTACTGATTGCTTCTTTTTTCTTAATGAGATAGGAAGAAAGGTCGCTGGCCAGAGTGGAAATGAGGAGAAAGAGTTGGTAATGGAGGAGAGAGGCAAAGGTGTGACATGATCGTGCAGGATACTGGGAGAATGAGTACAGTAAAGCCAATAAAATACGTGATGCCTGCGGAGCGGCATTCCAGGCCCACATTCTTGTCAGGTCATTAGTTTAAACTGAGACTGCTGAGCAGGGTTCCGTGTCTCTCTCCAGCCACACACACCCACACTGACCCAGCTGAACAGGTAGGAGCTGGATTTCACCAGGACGGTAGCTCATCCAAGTGAGTATAGCTAAGAAAGAGAGGCAGGAACATGGGAGCCGCGAGTATACCTGAAGGAGTGGTTGTGACCATGGTCTGTGGAATCTCAAGAAGAAGGTGGATGAGGGCATGAGAAGAGCAAGTGGAGCTGAAGAATCGTTGGAGTCCAGACTAAAGGGCCGGACAACAGGGCCTTGGTGGTCAGAGTGCGATTATGGTATCTGAGATTCCAGCCGGCAGGGTTGTGGGGGGGGGGGCAGGTGGGCGCAGGGAAGCTGTGTGATTAGGAAGATAATGTGCTTTGACCTCTGCTGATTAGGGCAGTATCCTCCATGAAGGGCCAGGGTGGAGAAGGGACAGTCCAGAAAAGAGATTGAGGACGTAGTGGATTTTGCTGCTGATGGCTCATCTTTCCACAGGCTCCTCAGATCACATTTCCTGTTTCCTATAGCCAATATCCTCTTGGGCCATGTCTTTATCCACTAGGCTCATTTTCCCAAGAGAAGGAGCTGGCCACGGCTGGCCTGTCCTCAGGACCGTCTAGTTTAAACCCACAGCCTGGTGGTCAAGACAGGCCCAGACTAGCCCTAAACCATGCCCCCAAAGATCTTTCCCACAGAGCCCCAGCCCGTCTACCCGCCCCCCAGCCTGCCCCACCTCTCTGACTTTGGTCCATCTCTGCCTGTTGAGACCCTCAAGGCTCTCTCCAAATCTGACCTCCTCACCAAAGTTTGTTCAGACCTCTCTAGTCATCATCAATCTTTCATCCCTTATTCTCCCAGGACACGTTTCACACTTCAGTCTTAACACAGAACACACCTTCTCTGTGTCTGGGATCATAAGAATATTTCTAGCTTCCCCACTAGACTGTGAGCCCACTGAGACATGACCCAGGTTTTATTTCTTTTTCTGACGACCACAATACCTCGCACAGTTCTCTAAATACAGTGGGCTGGTGCCCAATAAAGGGCTAATGGCTTAATTAAATATATGTTTCCAAAACACAGAAAAAGATCTTACATAATTGTATACCAAACCCAGCTCAGGGCAGCCCATGAAGTGCTGGCAAATGCTTTTTTATGTTATGGTCTCCGCGTACTAAACCCCCAGTCAAGGTGGTCTGCAGCAGAGGCAGGGGTGGGGAAGGGACCATCACCAGGATCAAGGGAGAGGAGGGACATCTTATTCCTGGCTGACAAAGTCCCAATCCCTCTGTGACCCCAACCCCTAACCTGAAGCTTTGATTATATTCAGAGAGCATGTGGGGTTTGGGATTTGTTCCTATTCAACTGATAGTCCTTTTTACCAGAAAAAAAGAAAAGAAAGAAAGAAAGAAAGAAAAACTTTTGCTCTACTTTGTTTCAGCTTCAAAAACCAATCTTGACAAAAAGCGAAGCTGGGTTCGGGACGTAGGAAATTACTGGAGCCTGCCCAGGGATCTGGTTCCTTTCAGAGCTGAGCCTGGCTCCCCTCTGGCCCAGAGCTCCCTGGAAACAAAACACACTCAGAAATAGCTGATAAAAGGAGGAGTGGGGGCTGGAAGGAGCCAACAAGTGAGGAATGTCGCAGATCTAGTGTTGGGCTTTGGGTTCAGGGCTCCTCCCCAGGTAGGATGAGGCCCAGAGCTCAGGGCTGGGCCTCCTGGCGCCTGGGGCGAGCCTTCTCCCCCATGTCTAAGGAAGGCTTCAGCAAGTTGCCTGACCTACCGTATGTCTTGTCTCCAGTCTAAGAATCAAGACGGGAAGAAGAACCCAGACAGGAAGACAGAGACACCGAGCTGCGATGTGCTACAGTTCTGGCCACGCAGCAAAGCCGTTCCCCCCAGAGGCCTCCAAGTCCGCCCCCGACCCCCCAGCAGCCCCAGGAGCTGCTGTGCAGCTCCCGCACACTCACCTTGTACTTGTTGAGGTTCTGTCTCTCCACACAGGTCCCCTTGAGGCAGAACTTGCCCTCGCCACAGCTGGTGCCATCTGCCCAGGGGAAGTGGCGGGTCTGGCACACCATGTGCCCCTTCGCCTTGCCGGTGCACCACAGCTTGGTGCAGTACTGCATGTAGGGACAGGGCTTCGAGCCCATGCCAAAGGCCAGCTCACACTGCTGGCTCAGGGTGTAGCTGGCACCAGGCAGGTCCTCGGGCAGGGAGATGGGCTTGCTGGGTGGGTCCAGGAGGCAGTCGCCTGTGGGGAGCCAAGGGCATTCAAGAGAGATGAGTTGAGAAAGGTGGGACATGGCCAGCCCAGAGTCTAAATGGTAGGGAGACAATGAAGCAAGGGCCAGTGCAATGGACCCCCTTTGAGAGCCCAACTCTTTGGTGGTCACACACGCCTAAGGTCATAGAAGATAGGTCCAGAGAGGTGCTGAGCTCTCTCTCCAGGGACAGCACCAAAATCCCTCTTCTGTCCTCCTGGCTTACCATGCCCACTGTCCAGGAAGTCGGTGATGATGGCAGCGCTGCAGGCAGACCAGGGGTTGGCACGGTCGATCTGGATGAGTGTTGGGGACATCATGTGGTTGGCTCGGAGTTTCCCAAACACCTCCTCGCACACTTTCACATTGTCATGGGGCATGTTGAACACGTGGCCTGTGGGGTGAGGCAAGAGGACTCAGAGGGTAGAAGGATGTGGGCTCTGCAGTTTTAAAAGGAGAGGGGCTCAGCCGGGGAAGCTAGAGAGCCCGTGTCAGCAATTCTCAGGCTGGTCATTTTAACCTAGAGATAGACTGCTTTGCAAATGTCAAGATGGTGTTCTTGCGTTCTCGGTCTTGTCCATTGGGCTGTGGGCTCAGTGGGGACAGCAGTGTATTTAAAATATTCTCCCCTTAGTACCTGATTGATGAGATACTCTGACTGCTGAATCAGACAATATGGCTGGCCAACTGGGCTGGGGCAACTGGAAAAAATAAAACCAAGCCATTGCTAAGGCAGACTCTGACCCTAAGGAAGGATCCCTAAGGCTTCAGGATGTGAAGAAGCAAAGATAAATGTCTACCTCCTGCCCAAAGCACCCAGGACAAACCCAGAAAGGCCCCAGAAGGGAGTTCTCCCCCCTCCACACAAGAACCCCCCTCTAGACTTACCCAGCTCATGGGCAGTGGTGAAGGCTGATGGAAGCCCATCATCCTCGATCACAGAACAACTTCTCTTGGGGTCGCACATAGTGCCCACATCAGCCATGCCCAACGTGTCACAGGTGGTGGCCCCACACAGGTCCTGCCAGGTGAGGGGAGAAGCAGAAGCCAGCCAGAAATTAGTGACAGCTACAGAAGGGACCTGATGGGAAGAAAAGGCATCGAACAGGATGTTCCAGCTCATCCCCGCTCCCAGCCCAACCAAGCCCAGCACCTTCCTAGCCAGCCCCTTTCTCCCAAGGTCTTTCAGGGTTATTCATGGAATCAACCCCAGGCTGAGGGAGGAGGCTTCAGGAGGAAAGCCCTGTGGGTCTCTAAGAAGATTCTACCCAAATCCTACTCAGGGATATCCTGTGGGAGGAAATTAGGAGGTACAAAATTAAACCACAAGGGCATTGCTGTATATAGAGACAGATTTCCAAACCAGAAAACGGTGAGTTCCACAGCCAGGCGAGGCCCTGGTTATGGCTAACGGAGGCAGGTGGGGGCGGGAGACAAGTGTGTTCCTCATCCGGAGTCAGCCCTGAGCGTTTCAGTCCTTGCCGAGCGATTGCCTTTGGACAACCATGAATTAAGCTCAGATTCTCAGCCAAAGGGTCACGGGCCAAGGACCCGCCCAAGCCAGAGATTTGGCTTCCTTGGGCTGGAAGGAGGCAGACTGAGGTGGATACGAGCGGCTATCCAGACACAGCTCAACTGGCTGCAGAAGCTCAGGAAAAAAATCAATGGATCGCCGCGTAAGACAGCCCCACTCTTTGTAATAAAACTTAACTTGCAGCAGAAGCTAGGACTTCCTACAAAAACACCGATGGGAAGGACTTCCGGGGATGTGGAAGGGCAAAATGGGATGGCGGGGCAGATATCTCAATGAATTTATTGAACATTATGGGCCAGCAACGCACCCACATACCTTAAGAGCCAAGGAGTTGGAAATAGGATAAGATACTTATCATGTAACAGAAAATACCCTGTTGAATCAGTGATACTAGGATTCTCTTCATTACATCCTTGCCTTTCTTTACAGTTGACAAGAAACTATTCCATGCATCATCTCGCTTCATCCCCAACAGCGTTAGGAGGCAGATATATTATTATACCTATTTGTCAAAGGTGAAAACTGAGGCTCATGCTCATAGCTAATCACGGCGATGATTTATTAAATGCTGACATCATGTGTGCACTTCACATGCGTGACCATATTTCATCCTCACAACATCCCACTGGAAGAATGACAGCTATCATCACCTTCTGTAGACAAGGAAGCCAAAGCTCAGAGAGGCCCAAGTCGCAGAGCAGAAATGTGCACTGGGGTCTGTATGATTGGATACCATCAGCACTCTTTCCACCACGTCAAAACTGATTGCTCAGCAACCCCTAAGTTAACTCTCCAGAGAAAGAGCTGCATGTGTTCTCCATGGAAGCCAAGGTGTCCGCAGAAACACCCCCCACAGAACTGTTCTCAATCTTCATTCTCTTTACGGCTATGCGCACGTGCGTGTGCAGGCACATGCTGACATGGGGGGAAAGGTGGGCAGTAGAGTTGGTGGGGCCAGGGGGCATAGGAGGAAAGTGGTCATAGTACAGAAAATCAGCAAAATTTAACCCAGAGTGCTCAGAAGTTTACCAGCTGAGCAAACTTGGCTTCCCACGGTCAGGTGATGGTCACACCTCCTAATAATGAGTTAACAGTTTCTCTGGCCAAAGAACGGAGAGGGCGATCAGACTCCAGAGTACACGGGTCAAAACTGACAATACGTGCCCAAACCTGATCTGCTCTCCTGGGCTCACACATGGCAAGCCTGCCACTTCGGGGAACCCTCGGGGAGAACCTCAAATTCCCCCTCTTCCAAATAGTCTTCCTTTTCCAAAGGCTCACCCTTCCAGAAAGTTCTCCTTCCCCTAGAGTTCTGAAACCTAGAAGAGGTTGGAAAGGAGTCTCTGAAAACTCTTGTCTGGTGGTCACAGCCCATAGGGAGAACCTGTAGGACAAACAGGACACTGCCCCAGGGCCACCATGCACGCTCACTGCTGGCTTTATGTAAGAGAAAGGGCACAAGAGCAAGAACCAAGAAGGCTAGATTCTGGTCCTGGACCCACCACGAAGTAGATGTGTGACTTTGGGCAGGTCACTTCTTTCCTCAGGGTTTCCTCCTCCAGAAGAAGGGCCAGTTCTCAGCTAAAACCCAGACTGGACCAGTGCCTTAATTAAGCCTCTGTTCCTGCCCCAATCCCAGGGTGCTCAGCCCCTTCTGGCCCTCTCTAGGTTATAAAAGGAACACAAAGAATGATATACTTTAGACTGGAAAGAACTCTGATCTTGTCTACTAACCCACGAAACTAACTCCCAGAAAAGGGAAGGTCACCCATGTGGACATTCGGAGTCCTAGCCCCTGCGCTGCTCAGCAGAAATGAGGACGCCGGACTGACAGCTCAGACAGGGCTCTAAAACGCCGCTGGACCTCCACTGTCCAGCAGCCTCCCTCTGCCGCTGGCAGGTCCTTAAAGTCAAGAGCCTCCTTCCTCCCTGGGAGGGTGGGTTCTCTCTGGAGTGAAGACATGCAGCTGCAGGCCCTTTCTGGCCAGGAGCAACCTGTTCTTTCCATCAAGAAATCCCGGTTTCCCTGGATCAAACAAGAGGAACAAGGAAGGAGCCGACACATTTCCTGAGGGTCAGGGTGTAGCTGAGAGCAGCCAGCCTGCAGGAACCAGTGTCTTCACTGTGGGAAGATGCAGCTGTTTGCGGTCACAGGCTCTGCCTGTCCCTCTTCCCCCAGTCAGAGACTCCAGTGAAGAATCGCTGGACCTTAGATCTTTGAACGCCCACAGGCGGGTACCCAAGGCTCAGCAGTGCCTCATTTGTGGCACTGAAGATCTCCACCCTTCTGGAATGAATTCAGATGCGCTCAAACTGCTTTAACCTCTTCAGCTCAGGCACTTGTCTCCAGCAACAGAAACTCTCTGGTCCCTTCCACCTGGAGGGTGTAGGCACTTCCCACCCAACCCCTATCTACCGCACTATTTCTGGTAATTTGCCATTTCTCCTTGAAGCTGCAGCTGCTTTTCCAGATAACCCAAGAATCATCTTGGCCAAGATCCTAGTCCTCCCAGATTATTGTTTTCTAACTGTCCTTCTTCACAGAATAATTTAGGATTGGAACCACAGTTTGAGAGAAGGCAAACAAGCAAGCACCTTGCAGTGGCTCAACCCACATTTCCTAGGCACGCTCCCTCCACCTCCCACCACAACCCACCACGGCCCTCCTTCTCAGCTCCTCTCCTTTGCCCTGCCGTGCACTGAGATGCTCATATTTTCCAGCCATACAGGGTGGAGGACCTACAAAAATCAAGCATTCTAACTTTTTTTTTTTAATGAGGCAGAAAATACATGTTGTCATGTAACCAACTTCCTCTTCATGGAAGAGCAGGGTTCATCTTCATGGCCACATCATAACATCCAAGACTCGCACTCACACAACTTCAGAGCAGTCCTCTCATTCTGCAGATGGGGACACTAAGGCTCGGTGGACTAAGATTTCTCACCCAAGGCCACATAGCTTTTAACACGGGAACTGAACCCCATGCCTTTTGACACCAAGGCCGGTAGTGGTCTTGGGTCTGAACCACAGCATGCTAGTCAGGATATCGTAATTACTGCTGAAAATCACCCACACTGGTATTAATATTGTGCCTTTAACTTGTTTCCATCTGAATCTCTTCCATGCATCACTCTATTTCCTTGTCCAACCCCAAATCCAGGGCTGTTTGTGATCCCCAAATGTGGAAGGGACTTGTTTTGCTAGAAGAAAAAAATTCTACCAATTCTAGGTGTCCGGGCAATGTGGCTAAGAATGCCTGATGAAGAAGAGAATGCACCCTGGTCACGTCCACCCAGGTTCGGTTTCGCTGGAATATAAATTCCTCAAGGTGTACAAAATGGCATTACAGCGGGAGACTGAGATAACTAAGACAAGAATTACCTCAATGAGGAAGCAGAGAAATCTGAAGCTTGTAGGAAGACCAAGCTTTCTCTCAGAAATCATCAGTTCAAGTGAGGGTGCACACCTAACGCGATGTTGGTGGCGAGCTCTTACTGAGTTGCTCCTGTGAACCAAACACTATTCTAAGAGCTTTTCTGTATTAGCTCATTACATCTTCACAATGGCTTTATGGGGGACATGTCATTATTAGGCCCATTTTACAGATGAGGTTCAGAGAAGGTAAGTTACTAGCACAGGGTCAGTGAGCCCAAGGTTAGACAGGAAGGGAGAGGCAGAATGAAGGTTGAAATCCAAAAGCGCAGCCTCAGAGCTGAATGCTTCCCTTGCATTAGTACTGTTTCTGGTACAGATGCACCCCACAAATGAAGAGACCAGGGAATCTCAAGATAGCAAGGCCGTCCACCCCATACCCTCAGCTCCCAAAGCGCATGATGGCCACGAAGTGGGGAGAGGCCTGGGAGAGGCTGATGGAGAGGGAAATGGCAGGATTAAGTGCCAAGAGTGCTCTTAGCACAATGCCTATGCCCCCTTCCTGGTTGAGGAAGCTCCTAAGTCCTTGCTCCACACCTGCACTGACACACTGACCCCATCCCTGCTCTGCACCATGTCTGCTGGCTCCTCGCTGGGGCCTCTCCTTTCTCCAGGGCAAAAACTGATGGCAAAGAGCCAAGAAGAAATGCCAGAAGAACCTGAGACTCCCTCTCCCAACCCTGCAGCTTGACAGTTGCAAAGGCTGGAAAAATGATCCCCAGTAAGGGAGGTGAACTACCTAAGCACCCACAGCCACACACAGTCTTTGCGCTGACATCAGTGCCTTCCTCCCATGAATACATACTGGACAGTGGCAGCATGCAGGGGCCCATTGGAGGAGCCACAAAGATATAAAAAGGTCTTGCTTAAAGGAGCTTACAAGTCAGTGGGAATGGCAAATGCTGGGGCCATGGTTTCCACACAAAAACAGAAAAATATTAAGTATACTTACAAGTGCGATGCAACAAAATAGTTCAAAACAGGACTGTCCCAAATGTAAGTTCTGGCAAGGGACCTATAGGTAATTATTCAAAACAACAAACACGTGCTGAGT